TAAATTTATTCTTTAAAATTATTCTCTTGATTTTTAAAGTTAAAGCTTTCTTAATCTTGCTTCGTAGGGTAGTCGAAGCTTTCTTAAGCTTCGCAGGGTAAATGTCTTAATTCTTAAATCAATTTAGTTGGTTATTGTTGAACACTTTCTAATTTTTGTATATCCTTATTCATTACAGGGGTTGCATAGCGGTGCTGCATATTCGAGAATAGGTCTTATAAAATTGCAGTACAGAAAGTTTATTGTGTTTTTGTCTTTGTAAGTAAATGATTTGATTGACCTAAACAACTATTTGTTTTATTTAAAACTGTATTTACATGGTGATTCCACTTCATAATATTTGTTATCATTGATGCCAATTTCTTTTTTAAAGTTGTTGAGGCTAGTTTTGAATCTTTCATATAATATGGATCTTTTCTAAAGTGCATGATTTTACATTTTTCAATTTTAAAACTTATACATTTGTCAAACCATTAAGTTAGATTATCAATATAATTCTTGGAAGAGTTTTTAGTCTGTCTTGTTTTTCACTACAGCAACAATTACCTGCATAAAGTTTGCATTTATTATTAATTTTAAAGGGTAAAAATAATGATCCAAGTACTCAATCTTGTGGAACACCACTCAGCACCTTTAACTAATCTCATTTTGTATTGCCAATTGTAATAAGTTGTTTGCTTTATGATTTAAAAAAAAAACCGTTTTTATTATTTAATGTCCTTTACTACTCAAGCCAAGTGTTGCCAAATGAAATAATCCAAAAACATAATTACTTTTATCTATAATTAATAGATCAAGTATATTTGTTAACTCGTTTTCATTGATTTGAAATATAGCTTCAGTTACACAGAGGTAGGTTGTACAAGTCAGAAAACATGAAGATGGGAGAGAGTTTCAAAGCATAGATGTGAATGGGAAAAAAAACTTGATATATAAAAGTTTTTAGAGTATGAAGGTTGATACAGTAAAAGAAAGAATCTTGAATGAGGAGAAAAGCAAAAATGAGTTTTAGTTGATGAAACTGTTGAGCACTGCTCCAATTACATTTACAATGTTTTTTTGACTTTGTCTACAAGAGAAAAAGCATTATTAGAAGAACCAGCCCAAATAATTTAACAATATTCCATACACAAACAAATAATAGATTTTTAAAGTTGAAAATGGAATTTGGAGTAAGAAACAGCGAGCACAATAAAGAGAAGCAACTTTAGCAGATTCTAACTTTACATTGGATTGTATATGTAATGACTTATATTTATGTTATATTTCCATGAGAGGTCATATACCAAATAGAGTCATTTTAGATGTAAGATTGTCAGGAAGATCATAAGTGTATGTAAGAAACTATACAAGACCAAAAAAAGAATGTTTTGGTACCCCATAAGTTATTGTAAATGATGAAGAGTGTTGGCTAATGAAGATAAGTTTAATACTGTGGCTTAAAAGAAATGATTCAATAACTCAAAAACTTTCCTAGATACACCATGTGAAGCAAGTTTGCCACCAGATACACCATGTGAAGCAATAAGGCCAGCATGCGAAGTATCAAAAGCTTTTGATATGCCAAAATCAAAACCTTTGTTGATTGTCAAAGTATAAGTTATTAAACTCAAGATGAAATGATAAAAATTTGTTTATTAAAGACTTTATGAGCTTGCTAATAATAGAGAGAAGACTGATTGAACGATAGTTAAAAAGGTCAGAGTGTTACCTATAACAATTTAAAAAATTGAAACCACAGTTGTTATTTTCCAGCAGAAAACAAGATTCAGTCAAGCACTTTTTAATAGATTAGAAAAACTTTTTAATAGATTAGAAAAACTTTTTAATAGATTAGAAAAAACTAAATGGTGTTTTTATTAGAATACAGAGCTCAAATTAACTCCAAAAAAATCGTGGAAAGGAAAATACAAATTTTATTTTTGCAAAAAAACATTTATCACAAGATATCACATTTTTTATAATTTATTGTTTCTTGATCTAGTGTACTCAACCCCTGGAATTAGGGTCAGCATTCGGCAATGCTGACTTAACTGCTCTCTTTAAAGTTTTTTAGGTTGTCCAAAAATTTCTGTCCTTGTGTTTCTATGCTTTATGGTGACTCCTTTGTGTCAAATTTTTTTTGCCGACTTGATGCTGACCTCTAACAGTTTTACCTCATTTTTCCAAGGGTTGCATACTATTAAAAATTAAAGTATGATTAAGTTTCTCATTCAAATGGTTTTTAAGTGGATGTTTTCATTCAATATTTTCATTCATATTGTTTTGCAATAAAAAGTGAAAATTTGGTTTATTGATTTGAATTGTATTTCCTTTAGTTTAAGAATATGCCTAAATTATTTTTTTAGAAAAAAGTTCTTTGAGCAGAAGTAAAATAATTTGTTTTAATTTTAATTTTTTATAATTTAATTTTTCATTTCAACTTTTGTAATCATTGGTTTAATGTTTGTAATAAAATGTTTTTTTATACTTTTAAAACTATTTTTAAGAAACATAATAACTATTCAAAACGTTCACGATTTAAATAAAATTTTCTTCCTCACTTGCACAATGTTATAAATCTGATACTGTTACTGTAGCTAGATATTGCTAGATGTAGCTAGATATATAATATCTGATGTTGTTACTGCAGCTATACGTTTAACTTTCAACCATTCTCGCTTTGCTATGTATTACATAAAAGACTAAAATTCTTTTGTTGAAGTAGATTTATTTTTAAATAAAATTACAAAAAACAACTTGCGTATTTATTGAAAATGTTAATCTTGATATTGCTTAAAATAAAATATTAAAAAATGGTATCATGTTTTTTATATAGAAATAGAATAAGAGAATTTTAGAAGAATAAAATTTTTTTGTTTAAATAGATTTCTATTCCTATAAAAAACTTGCGTATTTAAAGAATATGTTTGTTCTTGATAGCACTTTAAATTAAAAAAATAATATCGCATTTTTTATACTCTATTCGAGATTTCTTGTTAAAATAATTTTTAGTTAGAAGCTTATATTATGTGTTAACAACATTTAAGATATAAATAGAAACATTTATATGGCTAATTTTTGCGAATCTTAGAGTATATTAATTAAATTTAATAGTTGAGTCACTGTAAGTTTAAGATTTAGTTTAAAGGTAAATTTACTGTAATGTACTTTTTCCCTTCAGTAAATGCAAGTAAATATAACTTTAAAGTAATATTGGTTTCCAAACAGAGATTCAAAGTAATTTAAATTCAAAAGCGTTTTATGTTGAATAAAATCTCCGCTCAAAAGAGCGAAGATCATTCTATTCTAATAATAAAATTAGCATGTTGTACTTTATGACCCCTATTAAAAAACTTAAACAAAAACATTACTTTTAAGAATGAAATGTAATGTTTTTGAAAACAAAAAAAATGCAAAATTAGAAAAGAAAAAATTTTTTTAAGAAAAAACTTATTGCATAGGTGTAAAAATAATTGCGATACGTTTTATTTGAGCACTGGACCATGACAGGAATGTTGTTTAGGCCACAAGCAGTAAAAGATTTTAATTGAGAAATGGCTTAAACAATGGAAGCCCAAGTGATTGGATGTCTAACAATAAATTAAATTATTTCTCTGGAATTACAGAAAAAGTGTGGACCTAAGATTCGAGAGTTGAATTAGAGGAAAAGTTATTTGCAACAACATCAGTTTTTGCTGTCTAAAAACAACTGTCCAACAACATGTAAATATAATGAGGTATAATAACATTTATTAATATAACATAATAATAACAACATCTGGAATTTCATTAATGTCTAATAACATCTGTGCAAAAAGTATATATTACAATTATCAATTCAATTATCTAAGTATAACAACATCTGTGCAACTATATCTGTGGATTCCACAGAGGTTGTTACATATTTTCAATTATATTAAAAACAACTACATGGTTTTTTTCAGATTAATAACATCAAGAAAAAATTATTAAATAGTAATGTGTAATTTTAACCAGATGTAGTTACATAAATGATTTTTTTCATTATGTATAGCGTCTCAAAACTAAGAAGCTATGCATAATGAATGTCTTTTCTTTAATTGCCAGGCTACAGTGCAGTGACTGGTTATAGTGCAGTGACTGCTTACAGTGCAGTGACTGGTTACAGTGTAGTGACTGGTTACAGTGCAGTGACTGGTTTCAGTGCAGTTACTGGCTACAGTGCAGTGACTGGCTACTGCAAATGTCAATTAAAACAAAGTAGCAAATAAAATTAAAAAATAAAAGAACAAACTAGAAATAGTTGAGGAGAAAATTCTTGGTGAAGGGGGAGTAGGCAGTTCTTTGTAAATCCAACATTTTTTTAAACAAGCTAAATGGACAAACAGAAAAATATTTAATGTCATGAATTGACCCTTACCATAAGCTGCCAACATGAAGGTGTTTAAATATTTCAAAATTATCACGAATTAAATAAATATAAATTTGTGTGGTATGTTTATAAAATTATCTATATTATATATAATGACCACTTCACTTTATTTCAATAATCTTTAAAAAGCTTTGAATTTAATGATACATTAAGAGATGACTTATATTATACAATTTCAATTCAAATTAAGTTCTAGAAGTTTAACAGAATTTATTGTTTCACAGAATTTCATTGTGCCATTTTTTAATTAAGATATGACAGAAGTGTTGAAGCAATATTTTACAACCAGAATTGTTTGATGTATTATTAGGATCTTTATTTATAAAACATCTAAGTCATTTTATTCTATTCCTAAATTGATGATCTAAATTGATGTCACAATTCACAATTGTAATATCACAATTCACAATTCGCAATTGTAATGTCACAATTCACAATTGTAATTTGGTCTTTGTTTCTGTGTGCTACAAAAAGCTGAAAATAGGTGCACACATATTTTGAAGCAAGGAATCTAATAAAATAACTTAAAATATTTAAAAATAAATTTAACACCTAAAATTTTAACCTTAATTGAAGTTTTACTGGGGCTAGTTTAATTACAAAAATGCCGATGTAGCTCAATTTTTTTTTCTAATCAAGATGTCAGTTTATTCAGAATTGGTTACAAAGAGTTAGAGTCTTTTCTTAAACTGAAAAAAATACATGGTCAAATTTACTTAAATTTGTTACTTATAAAACTGGAATTATAAAAACCAAATTAAAATAAAAGGTGGTTCTCTTAGGTGCTTAATACACATGTTTATTAATTTTTGGAAAATTTTCACACCCTAAATTTTACTCGTCATGAACATAAAATTGTATCATAATCAAACAAAAAAAGAAGTTCTTTTTATCTTTTGAAACCAGTTTAGGTCTTCAAAATTAGAAAACACAAACTTACTTATAGAAACAAAAATAAAAATTCCCACCCACCTGTTTATTACAACCCCTCCCATTCTTTTTTTCTCATCTTTCCCCCCTCCAATCATTTCCCTTCTCACATTTATTACATTAGGACTAAAATATTAAATTTGATTTTTCTAAATTAAAAGTGACCAGTATGTTTTATAATCATTTCTTCTATTTTAGTTACAACTTACTCCACAACTGTAAACAATAATAATGATAGGGATGGCAATCTCACATCCTGAAATCCTGGGATTCCATACAAGTTGTTCATCTCAAAATTCTGGCATTAATCCCCAAAATTTTCTGGGATTTTAGGATTATCATAAAAAAAAGTTTAAGCTTAATTTGTAATTAAGTAATACATCATAAAATGTAAATATAGAAACTATGGGATTACTTGGGGACAAATTTCTCAATCTCAAAATTCTGGGATAGAAAATGTTCAGGATTTTTGCCATCTCTAATTTAAGAAGAAAAAATTCAAATTAGAAATATCACCTCCTAAAACAGCAATAACACTTCCCACTATTGCAGTATGTTGTTTAACAATAGGCAATACCACAATAGGCAAGTCCCTTGCCTATTGTGGTGAAAACTGTTTGCTTTAAAATATTTTTTAAAACAGAAGATTGTTTATATCTGCTACATATTCATTGTTTATATCTGCTACATATTCATTGTCAGAATGTAATAATTATTCTAGTTATGACTTTTAGGCTAAATTTTATAAGCTATTAAATGCTAAATTTAATAAAAATAATTAATGCTCCATTATATAAAACTTGTTTTAACATATATAAATTGATAGAATAATAAAAGACATAAAGTAAAAGTAAACAACTTTAATAAATAATGCTATTTATTACCAATAATTGTTTAAACCTATTGTTGTCCACTGGTCGATATTTAGTTAGTTGAAACTTGTTTAGTATAGTAATAAATATTTGATAAATTATTTAGAAGCATTAAATAAAAAAAATCAGATTATAAGTATTTTCTTCATTACATTTATCTTCTAACGATGTACATTTGACAATGTTTTTTATTTCTGTTTTAGGGAAGAGCTCAATCTAATTTTTTGTGAAAACTCTAACTAAATTATTCAAAACAAATTTTGAAAAATTGAATCTGATTTGAAAATTTACATTTGCATTTTTATAATTCAACTTCTCTCCCAGTAAAATTTTGATAAAATTTTGAAATTTAGGATTGGATTTTATAAAAAGAAAGCCAATACCAAGAAAACAGAAAGAATCAACAACAACTATAAAGTAACAATTTGATATGGTTGAAACTGCTAAAGTTTCATTACTGTCAAGTTACTATTAGGTGCTTAATACAAGGTGGGGTGCAGATAAAAGGTGGGGTGCAAATAAAAGGTGGGGTGCAGGATGGATGGGAGTTTTTATCCAGATATAATAAAGGGAAATAAGGAAGAAGTTCTTTATAAACAGGTGGGTAGGAATCTTTATTTCTATAAATGAGTTTGTATTTTCTAAATTTGAAGACCAAAACTAGTTTCAAAAATTAGAAAATAATAACTTAAAATTTTATTTAGAGTTATGAGATACAGTTTTTTTGTTCATAACAAGTAAAATTTAATAAACGGATAGAGGGGATTTTATAATCAGCTCAGGGTGGGTGTGAAAATTTTCAAAAAAAGAATAAACTTCCGTGTATTTAGCACCTAAGAGTACCACCTTTTTTTTTCCTTTGGTTTTTATAATTTCTGTTTATAAATAACAAATTTAAGTAAATTTGATTATGTTTTTTTTCTGTTTAAGAAAAGACCATTCTCCAATTCTTTGTAACAATTTTGACTAAACTATTCAGAATGACATCAGAAGCTGCATCAGCATTTTGGTCATTAAATTTGCCCCAGTAAAATTTGCAATAAAAGTTGAAATTTCATGTGTTATTTTAATTGTTAAATATTTTAAGTTGTTTTATTGGATTCCTTGCCTCAAAATATGTAAATTTATATATTTTTAGCATGCCATTGCACGCAGAAGAGTCACAATGACCAAAAGACAAATTTTTTTAAATTTATGTCGGGTAAAATTGTTATATCTTTGAAACTGTTTGGAAATGGTTAATTTTCTCGGATGTTCATAACTTATTAAATTCTTTGAGTCATGTAAAAATCAGGAAAATCTAAGGCTTAGGTTTGCATGCTCTGGATGTTATAACATAGAATTGCCCAATTCACAGTTATAATCTCACAGTTTACAATTATAATGTCACAATTCACAATTGTAATGTTACAATTCACAATTAAAATGTTACAGTTCACAAACTAGACTATTAGAAATAAACAAAAACAAAAGAAAAGAAATTAAAACAAATAATAAATAATTTAAAAAAATTTTAAAATAAATTATTATTGTAACTATTTTCTAAAAATTTTAAAAAAAATTCTTTCAAAAAAGATGAAATTTTATTGTTCCAACTATTGTTAAACTATTGTCCAACTGTTATTATTGTTTAGGCTGGGTACCTTTCATTGTCCTCTTTTACCCGTCATTGTTGTTCTAAAGTTAATGATAACATTCTATGCAAAGAAGGTAAAGTTTTTTTGTGAAACATTTTATTATATGTAATTTTATTATATGTATTTTGTGAAACTTTTTTTTTTTATATGTAAATCAAAGTTCTTGTCTTTTTTATTTTCAAAAATTATTTTTAGTTTAGCCTTATTCATAATTGCAGACCCACAATGCGTCCTTTCAAGGCAAGAAAAATGAATTTAGTATTTTTGGTACTGCTTTTTATGATGCTAGTTTTTGTTGTCATAGTGACTGGCTACAATATTATGAGCACTAACAAGTAAGTTTTTATAATGACCACTCACAAGTAAGTTTTTATAATGACCAAACATGACTAAAAATCTGTTCACAAACAAAAAAATCTGTAGAAGATCAAATTTAATTAATTATGTTGACATAATTATGTTGCCTGTCAAATAAAAGTTGGCACAATTATTTTTTTTAAATATAAATTTTAAATAAAAACATTTGTTCAAGTTTTGTACATGTTGGTAGAGTTCATTTTTAAATAACTATGCTTTTTTTCGGGCAACATTTAATCCTGTTTTCTACTGGGTAAACAAGTGATTTTTTTTTTGTGGCAGTTCTTATTTGACACTTGTTATTGATGTTGTATTTTTAATGGTTAAAAAATCATATCTGTAAATTATTGCTTTAAAACTTGTTTTCTATGAACTCAAAATGTTGACCTGTTTCACGTTCAAGAATGGTCAAATACTGTTGAGTCAAAATAAAATTTGACCTAACATTAAGTTATAATATTTTTGACTATAAATAAATATTTACGATTATAACTACAAAAAAAAAACTTATAAAAATTAAACAAAAACTTTTTTTTTTAAGTTTGAAAGAAAAATTTGAAAACTTTTATATGGTAAGAGAGCAAAAAATAAATGTAAAAAGGATAACATAAAAAAAAAATGTAAAAAGGATACCTTTAAAAAAATGTAAAAGAGATAACAGTAAAATAAGAATTAAAATGGAAATAGTAATAACATAGAAAAAAAGAAGAAAAAAGACCACATCAAAAACAGCCTTTTCAAAAAAAAAAAAAAAAGTTTTAAAGCTTTACTTTTTCTGAGATTAAGATATATTTCCATATAAAGATAAACTTTTATAATTTTCTGAGATAAACTTCCATATAAGGATAAATTCTGAGATTTTTGCATTCTTCTAATAAGGTAAACTTCCATATAAGGATAAATTCTAAACTAAAATATTAAAATAAGAAAGGAGAAAATAAATATATATATTTTTATTTTTGTTTATTATTATATTTTATTGTTTCTTTAGGTTAAAACCTTCAACACAATGTGGTCCTTTTAGGTATATGTTTTTTATACTTTCAGGCATACATTTCATATATTCTTTTGGTTATAAGTTTTTTTTACATGTACTTTCAGTTTTGATAAAACAAATGAAATTTTAATAATTAAAGTTATTATTATTTATAAGTTTTTCTATTAAGTAAAAATATTTTGTTATCGCAATGTAAAAAAAAAACACTTTTATTCGAATAGCAACTTTTTGTTCAGAAAACTTCAGAAATTCTGAAAGAATACCTAATGCATCCTTACTTTCTATAATATTTCCAAGGTTTAATTTATGCCACCTAACCCTGTTTCTCTCTGCGACTTTCTTTTCTCCCAAGTTATGTTTGTTTCATCGCTTTCACTTTATTTAAAATTACATTTTTGTGTCACTTTTTTAGTCTCTTTCTTTACTTATATTAGTGTTGAAATTGAACAATTTTTTTAATTTTTAAATCATGTTTATAATAAATCTAATATATACTTTGAAATGATTTATAATTTTAGAGGTATGAACAGTATTTATGATATTGTCAGTATCATTGTGGAAAAATTACCAAAAGTAATAAGTGATTTTATCAAAGTGATTTCATCTGCTGCTGTTATAGCTGCCATAACATTTTTAATGTTGTATGTTGTTTTTTTTTATTATTTTTTAATTATTTTCAATATAAATTTGTGTTTATTTATTGATTGCTTTTTTTGTTTGTTTCTTTTTTTTTAGCTTTGTTGCCTACTATTTTCGAATAAAAAAACTTTCCTGCGAAAAAAAAATAGAACTCATGAAAAAGCAAATTAAATTGGTAAGCCTAACTTGTTTTTTGCTAGCTTAGTTTTGTCTTGCTAACTGTCATGTTTAAACAGAAATACTTAACATGTTTTAAGTATATCTGTTTATACTGCACAATCTTTTCTTTTGAAAATTTTGCTGCTTCCTTCTTTTTTCAGCTTCTCATTATGTGAATTTCAACTAAACTTTATTTACTTTATTTTAACTGTGGATGTAACTGAATCGTTTTTATTAAACAAAAATATTTAAATTTACGATTTGTAGCAGAGATAAAATGTGATATAGTTTTGGAAGTTGTTGAGGAAGCAGTAAAAAATTATCATTATCTTTATCTTTATATTATTTATTAAAATCATCATTATCTTCATTTTTATTATTTTAATGTTTGTTACTCTGCAATTGCATGATTTTATTTTCTTTTTTTTTAAATGATAGTAATTATAAGTTTAAATTGCTCTTAACTCAAGTTGCTATTGTAAAGAAATTAAAATGTATTTGCAATATTTGCATGATGGCTCCAATTATGTCATTTCTTTAATATCTAAAGTCTTGCTTATTTTTTTAATTCTATTTAGTCCAAGTTGTCTTATGTTAATGTTTATGTCTTTCTAAGTTTTTTACATTTGTTTTACCTCACAAAAAAAAAATGTTGATCATTCTTCTTTGTTTATGGCCTACATAATTTACAATTATGTAATCTTGTTTAGACAGTATCTTCCGTTAATAATTTTTCTTTTCTCCTCAAAATACTGCTGCCCAAATAATGGTTTACTTGATTTATTTTGTATTTAGTAGTATCATATCCTTAATTCCTTAATAATTGCAATAATTGAATAATTTTGAATAAATAGAGGCTCTTGGTTGTGTAAAGAATAGAGATGATGTCTCGATAAAAATACACATCTTGAGCAGACATTAAATGCATCTGGCTACTGTCTTGTAGAAGGCCTCTTAGGCAAAGACTTCAGGGGTAAACAGATTCCATCCGTTGACCAGCCTCCCACCACTTCTTTATCTATTTAGGTGGCGCAGATGTATTTATAATACATTGTTTACAGTTTAGGATGTTGAGAAATTAGGTTTGAATCCACAGACTATTCTTTTATGTGCCTTTCTCAATCCCTAACTCAAATTGTCAATTTTCTAACTTGCTTTCCAGACAATAAGAATCCTTTACCTTCTCTACTCAACATATGTCTTGATTCTGATCCTAGTCAGTGCTCAATTTCTCCACATTCACTCGTAGGTGCTTCTGATCACGGTTCACATCTCTCTAACACTATTACCTCATTCTTATTCATTATTAGAATCTCCCTATCATGGTATCGCTTTTAACTACCTTAAAGCTGACTGGGACTCTTTCCATGATTTTCTTTGTGATGACCTGTGGTATATTAGGTAGAAATCTTTCATCTTCCTGCTAACAAATGTGCTTTTTGCATAACATCTTCGATTCAAGCTGGCATGGATTCTTTTATTCCCTCTTAACAATTCCAATTCATCATTCCAGCTTCTGTGTCTAAAGTGATTTTTTGCTTAGGCTTTTCTACAGCATGTGGTCCAGACAATATACCTGCTATAGTCTTGCAAAAGTGTTCTCCGGAGCTGTCATCTATAATTTCAAAACTATTTAACAAGTGCTTATCGGAGTCTTGTTTTCTAGCCTGCTGGAACTAGGCATTTGTTATCTTTAATTTCAAAATCTCTGGAGAACGATCTGACTTGTCTAACTACTGTCCCATTAGTGTTCTTCCTATCATAAAAACAAACACTTAATCTCTTATCTTAAATCTAATAACTTTCTAATTTTGTTTGTAATTCAATATGGATTTTGATCTTCTTGTTCTACAGCTCATTTGCTAACAGTAATAACTGATAGGTTTTATCATGCATTAGATAGATGTGGAGAGGTTAAGGCTATTGCTCCCAACATTTTTAAAACTGTTGATAAAGTTTGGCATGCTAAAATTCTCCATAAGCTCCCTTCTTATGGTGTATCAGGTAACATCATTAGTATTATTGAATCCTTCCTTACCAATTGTAATATAAAAGTTGTCCCTTGATAGACAGTACTTTTCTTCATATCCTGTAACTTAAGGGGTTTCTCAAGGTTCTATCCATGGCCCTATACTCTTTTTAATTTACATCAACAATCTTTAAGATATTCTCACATTTGAGGTGGCATTGTTCGCTGATGATACTATCATTTATTCTTGCCTTGATAAGAAGCCAACACTCTCTAATTGCTTGGAGGTAGCATTTGAGCTTGTAAAAGAATTTAATTCTGCTACAGCATGGGGCTTTTAGTGGCTGGTGAACTTTTACTCAGATAAAACTCAATTTTTTTCATTGTTATCGCATTAATCTAGATCTTCCTATACTTATGAAAGGTAATGTACTTGATGAGTCATCTATCTTTTATCTTCTCAGATTAACTCTTACTTCTGATTTTTCTTGGAAACCATATATCAAATCCTTTGCAAACTTAGCAACTGCTAAGGTTGCACCCGGATATCCAAAACATTTTCAATACATGCAAGTTGAGGTATATGTTTTGTAATATATTGATTTTTAAATCTCACTCATCACTCATAGAAAAATAATGGTGTCAAAAAACAATTTAAAAAAAACTTAGCTAAAAGCCAAATAAAAAAGAAAATAAAGGTAAACAAATTCCAGATTTTTTCCAGATATTTTATTCAAACAATTTTCCGGATTTTTTAAATATTACTAGGATGATCTATTGTTGCATCTCATTATTGTGCTTGTCTTTATCTTGCATCTTATCTATTATTGCATCTTGTGCAATAATAGATAAGATGCAATTGTCTCTATCTTACTCTTGTTTATTTTTATAAACCTTTTTTAAAAAAAAGTATAGTTTACACAAATTTATTTATTATGATTAGAAAAAAATTATGAACACTATACTCGCAAGTGTGAATTTTTAAAACGTCATATTTTTCGTTTACTGTATTAAAAGAAATGGTTAAAATATAAACGTATATAAATGAAAATAAAATCTATATGTATAGAAGTATAGTTATAGTCAGAATTCCATACAAATCCTTGTATGGAATTCTGTTGCTATTTCTGGGGTGGATCTTTCAATGATGCCCTTTCTCTTTTAGACAAGGTGCAAAAACGCATTGTAAACTTACTCTTGCAGTCAAACTTCAACAATTATCGCATCGTCATAATGTTGCTTCTTTTTATATTTTCTACAAATACTATAATGGGCACTGCTCTAAAGAGCTATTGTCTCTTGTGTCATTTACTTATGTTACTTATCATTTAATAAAGTCTCATCTTTTTCTGTGACTGTTCCTAAGTGCTCCAAAAACTCTTATTCGTCTAGTTTTTTTCCTCGAACATGAGTTCTTTGGAATTCAGTTCCTCCATTTCGTTTTTCTGTTTTCTATAACTTCCGATCTTATTAGTCATCTGTTAATCGTTATCTTGCTCTATAAACTTTATCTTTTCTCTTCCAGTAACTTCTAACTCGAATAGTGGTTGCTTGCAGCCTTGTTTAAAGTAAAGATGTTAAAAAAAATTTTTTTTTTTACAAGCAACATTATTAAATGAAAAAAGTGGATGTAATAATTGCATGCATTTTTAATAATTGCAAGCGACAACAATAATTGCAAGCAGCTTTAATACTTTTATAATTCAAAATTATGAATATATAAAAGTTATAGTTAATAGCAAGTTAACTTTTAAAAAATGTCTTTTAAATTTTCGAATGTTTTTTTAATTTAAGAAAACTAAATCATTTCACTAAAAAGATTAACTTAAAAATCATTGAAAAACTAAAAAAAAAACTGTGAAAAACTAAAAAGAACAAACTTGAAACTGATTAAAAAAAATTTAATCATTTTTTCTTTTTATTTCTTATTATTTTTTCTTTTCATTTCTTTCTATTTCTAGAAGAATCTGTTTTTTAAAAATTGAAAGGTTACGAAAATGCTAAAAATCTTCATTCTTGATTTCTAAGAACTATATTTTAGATTTTTCCGACTATTAAAAAGATCTCTCTTTCAAAAGATATTTAAGTGCCTTTTTTACATTTTCCTGACTTACACAATTTACAGTTTAGGCAAAGTAAAAAAAAAATCATTTAGTGTTTGTATTTAGCACATACCGATGTTATTATATGCTTAGTTTCATAGTTTTTACTTGAAGTTTTACAAACATTTTTATGTTTATTCTGATGCGATAGTTGTAACGAAAAATCCAATTCTTAAAAACAACAAATAAAACGACACAATCAATGATGTAAGAAAAAAAGTATAAATGATTATTAACAACCATGTATATTATTTTAAAAAAATGCACTATAACATTATCAAAGTTCTCAATTATGAATATATAATTTAATTTTTAATGCTACACAGCAGGACTATAAATAGGCATCAAAACACGTTTATACAACCCTTACAACATTAAAACCATACTATGGTATGATAAAATGATTTTTTATTTATAACTTTTTTGCCTAAAAATATTTTTAAATAGTTAAAAAAAAAAGTTATGGAGTTTAGTATGTGTTTTAACAACTTTTTTTTTCCCCCTTTTTCTTGCGTAATTGCCCATACATATATATATACACCTTGTACAGAAAGTTTAAACGCACTTGTTTTTTTACTTATTTAATACTTTTAAGAAATGATATCACGATAAATTAATGAGATATGCTCTGTATTTTTATGTTTATTTATACTATGGCTATAAGTTATTAGTTTAGATATAAAAAAAGTTGTATGGATATTATAACGGAGGTGGAGAGTGATAAGAAAAGTAACGGAGCGATTAACCCTTTCACTTTTTTGAAATAAAATTTAAACGCACTTTGATAAGAAAACGCGTAAAACGCGTTTATTGAGAGATTTTTTATTGAAGTCTTTTGCATTTTTATCACTCAACAGCCTGGTAACGTTAGTATATTTCATTTGGATTCCTATTCTTATTTAGAATAAAAACCACAAATATGATTTGATTTAAAATATAGCAATT